CTCCTTTCTCCAGGCCCTGTTGTCCCTGCTGAATGACTGGACCCCTTTCAAAAGAAGCTACAATGGTTGTATTGCATCATCATAGATCTCCCTTCTTCTCCTGCCATTTCTGAGGGCAGCTCTTCCTGCTAATCTGCACAATTTAAAAGAAGCACTGAAGAACAAAACTTGAGAGCATTTACTGGTCTGAGGGAGCCAGGTATATAAAAGGTAAATGAAGCTGAAATTGCTTATCTGGAGTAGATTGAGTCAGAAGAACGTAAATTCAGTGCCAATTGTAATTGGATCTTCTGCCTACTGAAGAAAGGTTGAAGAAGTGGAAAAACTGGAAAGAGCAGACCAATGGGAAGAAGAAAGCACACCCACAACAAATGCAATCACCAAATGAATGGGCCGTCAAGTCAACCCAGCCATTTTAGGAGGACTGCACGCAAAATATATTATGTACTTGTTGCAAGTTCTTATATATTTTGAGGATAGCTGTGTTAGTCTGTTGCAGCAAAAACAACAAGTCTTTTCTACTTTAAGGACCAATGAATTTATTATGACCTTAACTTTCATGAACACGTTATCAGGTGCTTGCTATCTTCAACTGGTAACCAGCTTCCAGTGTTCTCTTCACTCCTGCTATATACCACACTAAACTAGCCAGAAATTGATCTATGTCCCAATTAGAGGTAAGCCCTTAGCACTGAAACAGAGCTAGCAATCCAGGACACTGTGGCCGCCTGCCTTTAAGGAGCTGCACCAGCTACCAATATGTTTCTGGACCCAGGGAGAAAGAGAGGGAGAAGGGAGGAGAGTCCTCCACCATCAGGCAGGTCGTGGCAGCACCTTGCATTCCTGTTGTCCTCCTTTTCGAGGTGGTTCATACAGGCTCTGAGGTAGATACCTGCAAGGGCCAACTTCAAAGTATCAGCTCAGTCTTGTGCCTCATTTGCCCTCCTGGCAGCTCAGGCTGTCATCACAGTGTGATAAAAGACCAGCACACACACACACATATATGTATGTATATGTATATGTATATGTATATGTATATGTATATGTGTATGTGTGTATATGTGTATGTATGTGTATGTGTGTGTGTGTGTGTGTGTGTGTAGTGTTCACTTATTGGGCTATTTTTCCTGTTCCTACAGAGCATTTGGTGCAAAGGAAATGCACAGCATGAGAGGAACTTAAATTCTCTTATTTGACTACAAAAAGTTGGTTGGCATGAAGGCACATCAATCTGAAGATCTGCCAAAGGGACAATTGTACTGAAAAAGCCAATATCCTGTGAAAACAGCCTTTCTTCTCTGAAAAGATTACTTAATAAAGGCAAAATTTTAAAATAGCCGGATAAAGAGAGATAGAGGTGGAACCAATATGTGTTTCAGAATCTTTTGTCACAATAACCTTTACTCTCCATAAGGTCTTTGATGACGGGACACTATACAGAGCTTGTCAGAAACACCATCTAACCCTGCATGCTAATTTATGTTGCAGATCTCAAACCTAACTTCTGCCATGCCCAGCCCTGACCCAGAGCCAGATACTGACTGATAGAATAAGTTGGAGGGGGCATGACAGTTTTCACAGTTTGCAGAATGTGCAAACACACATTCACTTTGCTGTCAACCTCCCAATCTTCTTAATGCACACTGGTGGGACTTATTGAACTTTAATACAAATGCAAAGCCTCTTTTGTACAGCTGGATGTCCTGGACCATAAAAAGGGAACAGATTAAACCAAGTGCATCAGATACCAAAAGGCTCGTGGCCAAGTCAAGCTACAACTGCCAGGTAAATGGACTGGCCCCAACTACAAAGCGGAGAAATGAAGACAGAAATGCAGGTCCAAATTGCCATTAAGGAAATCATCCTTCTACTGTTAAGCTATGAGTGAAGCAATAATACTCAGTGGAAAGTCTCAAATATTGCATTTTGATACTTAAACCCTCTCCAGTTCATACCAGAAACCTAAGTTATTTATTCCCACAGCAGAAACAGTTTGGCAGGGGAGAAAGTACTGCAACTAAAACAATGCCTGCATTTTCAAGAACAAGCAGGCCCTTGCAATTTCCACCCAAAGTGCAAATCTTTATTCTCTTGCAATCAGTGCCCCACAAGGCTGTATAGTCTTCATCTACTGTTGATTAATTGTTACACTTTATTTTACCCATTTCCCTAGTTTTGCACACAGAACCCCAATCTGTCCTCACAGCAACTCTTTCACTTAGGTTTATCTACATGACAAATCATAATCAGGTAAAATTGATGGGAATCTACCTAGGGATCTCTAGGAATCAGTGGGCAAAGTACCTTCATTAGGGAATTTTTAGTATTCCTTAAGCAGTAGAAATGTGGAAGCTGCAATTCCTTGGAAGCCATGCTGCTTCACATTTGCAGTGTTGACAGAAAGTCTGAAGAAGGTTGTCTCCGAAAAATCTTACACATCACTTGGGAAGACAGGCGAACTAATGCCAGTGTACTGGAAGAAGCAAAGATCACCAGTGTTGAAGCGATGATTCTTCAACATCAACTTTGTTGGACTGGTCATGCTGTGCAGATGCCTGATTATCACCTTCCAAAGCAACTACATGGAACCTCGTGTTGCGAACGTGATCCGTGAGGGAGGCACATCCGCAACCCACAGCACCGCATCTGCGAACACGTGGGTCATGATTCGGTGCTTCTTCACATGCGCAAAACACGATTTAGCGCTTCTGCGCAGGCATGAGCGCCAAATCCCGGAAGTAACCAGTTCTGGTACTTCCGGGTTTGGCACGGTGTGCAACCCGAAAATGCATAACCTAAAGCATCTGTAACCTGAGGTACCACTGCACTCTATTCCAAACTTAAAAATGGAAAGCGTAATGCTGGTGGTCAACAAACGAGGTTTAAAGACTTTCTCAAGGCAAATCTTTTAAAATGTAGTATAAACACCGACAACTAGGAAACACTGGCCTGCAAGTGCTCCAATTGGAGAACAGCCTTTACAAAAGGTGTTATGGGCTTTGAAGACATTCAAACTCAGAACACAAGGGAGAAATGTGCTAAGAGGAAGGCACACTCGGCAAACCCTCACCATGATCAACTCCCACCCAGAAACCTATGTCCCCATGGTGGAAGGACATGTGGATCCAGAACTGGCCTCCACAGTCACTTATGGACCCACTGTTAAAACTGTGTTTATGGAAGACAATCTTAACTCAGCTATGAGTGATTGCCAAAGAAGAAGAAGAAGAACACTTAGATATGGTGAGTGCCTCAGGTTCACCCAAAAAGTCTCATGGCTCAATAGAGATTTCAGTCCAGGTCTTCTTGGTCTGAGACACCATCCACTGGAGCCTACAATTTCTGGCAGGTCTCATTGGCAATGCAAAAGACTGTCAAGTTCCTGCTGCTTTTCCTGAGGAACGGCACACCTTTGTTAAGCAGCATCCAATATTCCACTGGGCACTGCTTCCCAAAGGAGAACAGAATGACAGAGTTTGTGCTATTGGGGGACATTCAGGTAACAGTATCCAATGCTTTTCTCCACTTAACTTTCCTGATCTAAGCAGGGAAGACCAGCAAGTGGGTAGGGTAGCCCCTGTGTGGCTGAGGCTCTTGCCACATAGATGCTAAACAACTCTGAAGCCTCAAACCCAGATATGGAATTGGTGAGATATTTGAGATCATCATGCAACTGCTAGGACCACTGTGCCCACTTTCCAGATTCAAAGTTAGGAGGAAGACTAGCTATTGATCTTGCTCTCCAGAAGGCAGTGTCACACTCACTGTGGTGAGCATCTTTGTTGAAGGTTGACTATCTATCTGGTCTTCCACACTGGCTCTCCTTGACTAATCATGTAGTAGGCCAATGGAATAATCACTAGTTTATGTAGGAGTTTTGCTTAATTTCTGGCCTTATATGATGGGTATATGATACATGGTCCTGCCACCTCCATTTGTGCGGAGAATTTGCCTCCCCATATCATCAAGGAACTCCTAGATCAACTAGAAAGGTCCTTTACGACATAGTCTGAGAATACCTAGTCTAGACTACAGTTAGCAAACTTCCAGTAAGGCCAGAGAAATCCTTCAACAGTCTCGTGCAGTCCAAATCCTAAGAACAAATTAGCTATTATGAAACAGCAGATCGTCCTTTTTTTTTGAAAAAAGCCGAAGTCTGAAAAGGAGTCTAGGTAGGGCTAGCATTGCACCTGTCTAAAAAATAACAAGGCTACTTCTAATATCACGAATCTACACAGGCAGCGTTTTCATCACCCGTGTCATCTTGCTTGTTGGATGAAAAGGCTGCAGGCAATGTGCCACGAATCTTGTTTTTGTGAATGCCAACTTCTCTCCTGAACTTTAGAACTCCTAATGTCCCAGGTAGAATAAGTGGCTTAATACGAAACACTTGTGGCACAGGACAAGGGAATTGCCAAAATTCAGTGAACCCATATGCTTAGTAAAGGATGGAAAAACATTTTTTTAAATGTTTTCTCAGCATTCATGTTGACATCTCAGAAAAAGAGACACACATAAGGGTCATGTCTCTACAAATCTGTGTCTGCTAAATTGCTAGGGCATCTAGCCATGGATCTTTAGGAATTATGAGTGTGTGAGGGTGTTAAGGATCTCTGTTGGAGAATTCTAATGTAGTAATCTGGAGCTGGAATTCCCAGAAGTGCTAACAAACCAATTCTAAACTAGTTTATAATTGATGTATAGGCTTAGCCGAAGGCATAAGATATTTCTAGGCTATATAAATATATTGCTGCACATACAATATCTCTAACTTTTGTAATTGAAGAGACCCTGTATTCTATTATTACTACTATTATGATTATTAATTACTTATCATTCAGCCTAAGGTCCCAGGGTGGGTTACAACAATTAAAACACAATGTTAAAAACAACTTACTATCACAGAAATAAGGTGGGTCTTCGAACTATACCGTACATCTCAGATGTTAAAAGCCAGGGCAAAGGGGTGTATCTTCAGCATTTACCAAATGCCTCCTTACCTTTACCAAATAAGCTTGGCAGTCACTGACATAATCATACTCTAGTCCATCAAAGGTGTAATAGTGCCGGTCCCCATAGACTGTGCAAACAGCAGGACAAGGATAATATGTGCAATTAAATATCCCACGTCGACAAATACTGTGGAGGAGGAAAAATGAAGACGTTCTGATTGGAGAGCTTTTACGAGTGGAAGATGAAAGTGTGGCACTCTTGTCATGAAACAAAAAACATTAGAATTTATAGCAGAGAATGTATAGCTTCTTGTATCATTTACATGGGGCCACAAAAGGACAAGTCTCTGCTCCAAAGAAAATGAAATTTGTTCTGCAGGCTTCTTCTGCAAATGAGCACATGAAAACATGGCACATTTTCATAGCTCAGTAACAAGTCTGTGTCAGGAGCATAAATGGAAATGTGTGCCCTTAATGGCACTGTAGAATATGCAGTTGCTGTGTTTGCTATATTATAGTATGAAGAGAACAAGCACTCCCCATCTCCTCTAGCATGATCACATGGAGGAATTTAGAAGCATTTGACAATTTTAATGTATATCTTATATTTACATATAGTTGGGTGGTATATAAATGTCATTAAATAAATAATCTATTTATTGAAATACTATATGATCTTTCAACTGCATTTATTTTTTAAAAAATTAAAAGTTCTTTTTAAACATACATGAATTAGGGAGCATATCTATGGTCAGATAATCTTATCTGTAACACTAAAAATAATTATAACATTAAAAACCGCAGTGAAATAAAAACTGCTTACCATCTGTAACAAGGGGTAGCTATCACTTCACCTGACAAATATTCCCAGTCTTTCCAGGTACATGGGCAACTGTCAGGCACGTAGCATTTTCCTTTATGCTCTGCCATCCTTCAAAGAAACAAAACCACGAATTCAAAAGAGAAATCTACCTATATGCAGTCACAATGATGCTTTCGCATGAGTCAGAAGAGGTCAGTTCCATACCAGATAGTGGTTGTTTGAATGGCATGCCATTCAATAGTATAGTAAACTTTGTCTGCCAGTCATTTCAGCATTTGCAATAATTTACCAGGTGTGATATTTAATAACTGGTCTATACAATTTACCAAGCAAGACTACATGGACATTCATGAATTTTGCACACTTACTTAAATGGGGCTTCCTTCTCAGCAAACATGCACAGGGCATTGTGCTGCCATATATATTTCAGCTCACTTCCATCACAGTTTTCACTGTTTGTACCTGCATGCTGTTTTCTTCACTGTCCACTTTTTCTGGGAGTATGAGGGCTGTGCTGGTGTTAGAGATGGGAGTCATTCCATTTCCCAAACAATCTGATTTATGTCTACTGCATTATTACAAAAGACAGAAGCATTCTCTGATGCTCCTAAGTGTGTATATGCTCAACACCCACCTTATTGTCATAGATACAGATGAGGGTCAAACTAAATGAGACACCAGAAAAAATGTAACTGGGTCTCTCATCTTTTTAAATTCCTCTTTATGCTGTAAATCAACCTGTGATCTTCAGGTAAAGGGTGTTATATAAATTTAATCAATCAAGAAATAATTCATTTGTATCAATCATCATCGCTGATTATTATTATCATTACCCATTAAGCACCCTTTATCCTTGCACAATCACATACCACACAGCATTTAATTCTATCACTAAAAGCTTGGAAGTTGGAAGGAAAGCTGTACAGTGGTACCTCAGGTTAAGTACTTAATTAGTTCTGGAGGTCTGTTCTTAACCTGAAGCACCACTTTAGCTAATGAGGCCTCCCACTGCCATCGCACCGCTGGAGCACGATTTCTGTTCTCATCCTGAAGCAAAGTTCTTAACCTGAGGTACTATTTCTGGGTTAGCGGAGTCTGTAACCTGAAGTGTATGTAACCCGAGGTACCACTGTATTTCAAAATACTGGTGGGAGTGAATTCTTTCTGCAGCTAAAGAGGAAAAAAATGTTTCCCAGTGGCAAAGCGCTCTCTCTCAAACAGGAGCACAACAGCACTGGAAAATTAAATGGGCCCGGGTGTCAACGTTATGCAAATGCCCAGATGTGTGTCTCCTTTTCACCTGCTCCTGGGAAGGCAGCAGATGTTCTGAATCAGTGCCTAAGTGCAGTAATGAACTGGATGAGGGCCAATACACTGAAATGCAATCCAGATAGATGGAAGAGCTGTTAGCAGGTGCTTCGTCTGCCCAGTTGAGTGGTTTTCTACTTACACTCACCATAACGGAGCAGTCTTTCAGTTTGGGATGCCCTAGATTCGTCAGTGTCGCTGGAGGCACAAGCGGCCTCAATGGTGCAGAGTGCCTTTTATCAGCGTAAGCTGATATACCAACTGTGCCCTGATCTGGACAGAGATAGCGTTGCTGCCATTAGCCATGCTTTTGTTATCACCTGCTTAGATTACTGTAATGTGCTATATGTGGGAATGCTTTTGAGAATTGCCTGGAAACTTCAGCTGTTCCAAATTAAAGCAAGATGGGGCTGCTCATTCTGACCAGATCAGATCAATATTTTACCAGTATTTACTAGGTCCGATACAAATTGCTTGCTTTAACCATTAATGCACTGGGTGGCTTCAGGCCAGGTTACGACCTTCTCCAACAATTACCTACTTGGACCCAAAGATCCTCAGATGCAGGCTGCTAAGCAGAGAAGGGGCATTTTTGGCAGTGGCACCATGATTTGTACTGTATGGTTGGTTTTGATCTGTCACTCCTTGATTGTCTTTTATATGGTTTTTAACTACCCAGAAGACATTGTTAATTGGGTAGTGTGTAAATAAATAAATAAAGTTCCAGTACGCTCTGATCTAAAGGAAACAAAAACCTATATGCTCTAGTCCTTGAAACTTCTTACCATTTGAGAAGTTAAGAAACGTGCAACAGTATTAGCCAAAGAAGGAAAAATCAAATCCATAGGTACAATTTCCTTCTCCAGTACTCTAGATCTCAGAAGCACTTACCCAGGGGGACAAATGCAACCACTCACACACGGTGGAGATGGTGCACAGGTGAAGTTCATGGCAAGGTTTGCACAGGAAAGCTCACAGTTTACTCCAGCAGATGGCAAGCCAGGCACATGAGACCGGCAGTCATAGTAGATCTTTTCTTCAGGGCACATGGGAGCTTCAAATTGAAAATGCAAACTACATGAGATCAGCATATGCTTAACTCTCCCTTGAAATCAAATACACTTTAAAGTACTTAATTTTTGTCGGTTCGTGCCCTAATCTTTCAACACAATTCATCAACAGCATATTCTGCTAACTACAAATGTAACACTTTCTTTACCCTTCAAGTGGTTAAAATTCTTTGGTCATTTTGGCACACATTTTCTGAATGGATACAATCTGAAAGCATTCGGGATTGCCAGAATTTTGCAAATCAGTCATGAATACAGACACTTGATATCTTAAGCTTTAAAGCAGCGCTCATTTCAAGTGCTGATCAAAAACTCTCTTATGTGTCAAACTATGTTTTTCATGGGAATGTTGCAGTATCAGTTTCTTAAAAACATGTTAAATTGTTGATGGATCTCTCTCAGCCAAGTTGGGTTATGTGAAACCATACAATATTGTTATAGTAGGTTTAAACGTTGGAGTAATATGAATTATACTTTGCTTTTTATTTGATGAAGTTAGTAAAATGTTTTTTATATTTCCTTGACAACCACTTGCAATTAATTCTTACAAGTGTTAAGAGTTTTCTGAAATGTTACATCCATACAGAGAGTACCAAAGTAATTAACATATGCTGTACTTGTTCTCACTGAACATAACTGTGCAAATCTACCCTCACTGGATTAAGTTTAACTTTGCAGCAAAACCCAACTGGCCAAAACTTCAAAAGTGCTGGTCAAAAGCTAATATTTCAAGTGATTCTATTCAGATATCCAGCAACTTGCTCCTTTGAAAACACAGGGTAGAATTCAACAACATGTTAATGTGATTGTTCTGTCAGTGCAAGCATTTCCGCTTGCCAGATGGAACAATCTTCCCTCTTCTCCTCCACACCCTGTGCTGTTCCCCCAACCCTCCAGAGTAGATTTGGGGGAGCTTCAGGGTATGCATGTGGGGAGAAAATGGGGGAAGCAAGTCTTTGTGTTGGCTTCCTCTAGCACACCAGGTTAGTTGATTCCGGCCCCCTTTTTCCTGGTCCAAAACTCTGAATTTTATTGATGTTCTTTGATATAGGACAGGCTTCCTCAACCTCAGCCCTCCAGATGTTTTTGGCCTACAACTCCCATGATCCCTAGCTAGCAGGACCAGTGGTCAGGGATGCTGGGAATTGTAGTCTCAAAACATCTGCAGGGCCGAGGTTGAGGAAGCCTGATCTAGGACAAAATGGGGATGAAAAAGAATGGCTATGCAGAACACTTTCAGGTGAGCAGGGATTCAAACCAGACTCAGATTAAACTCCCTTTCTTAGAACATGCAGTCCATGCATCTACAGCAGGAAAAGTGACCAAAAAGCATTTGAGAACTCTTCTGCTCAAGAAACTAAGGGAATTACCTGCAGGAACTTCAGCAGCTTCTGTGCATCTCATTGTTCCATTTAGACACTGGCTAGTCAGTGCACATAAAAAACACATCATAATAATTTAATACAAAAATACAGTTTTATATAGCAGAATAACATTGTTAGTCATATAATGCAACTAAATGCAGTATAACTTACAGATGCAATAAACATGACATTCTAAACATCAGAAATGTCTGACAGCTGAGGATAACATAGATGGGTTAGATGGACGATCAACTTGTACTTATTGCTTCTTATACTAAGCATGCAAGGCTGCATTCACACAGCAGTTTATATCATTTTCATGACTTTCCCCCCTAACTGTTAAGTTCTGCATTATAGTTGAGCTTTCACATGACATAAAAGCTGCTTCTGGAATTATAGTGGAATAAGAGCTGGACCATAAAGAAGGCTGATCGTCGAAGAATTGAATTATGGTGCTGGAGGAGACTCTTGAGAGTCCCATGGACTGCAAGAAGATCAAACCTATCCATTCTTAAGGAAATCAGCCCTGAGTGCTCACTGGAAGGACAGATCCTGAAGCTGAGACTCCAATACTTTGGCCACCTCATGAGAAGAGAAGACTCCCTGGAAAAGACCCTGATGTTGGGAAAGATGGAGGGCACAAGGAGACGGGGGCGACAGAGGACGAGATGGTTGGACTGTGTTCTCGAAGCTACTAACATGAGTTTGACCAAACTGCGGGAGGCAGTGGAAGACAGGAGTGCCTGGTGTGCTCTGGTCCATGGGGTCACGAAGAGTCTGAAGAAGTGCGCATGCACACAAAATCTCATACCAATAACAAACTTAGTTGGTATCTAAGGTGCTACTGGAAGGATTTTTTTATTTTGTTACAACAGCAATAGCAACAACAACAATACTGCAAGCTGAGTGCTCTTTTCCATGTTATTTGCATCCAGAAAAATCCATTTGCAAAGTATTAAAAAATGAGTGCTAAACCTGCACTGTATTCCATTATAGTTGAAAAATGGAATAAACTTCAATGTGAATGCAGCCTAAGTCTGATCAGCCTATCCTCTCCCTTAAGACAATGATCTCCAAGATCTGGGAGAATTTCTCCAAAACCCCACTATTAATTGTGTTCATACTGCAGTCTCACAAGGCCAAATTGGCATGTACGCAAACTGGGTAGAGCGTGAAGTCTACACTTCCACAAGAAACGTAAGCTAAATACCTACTTCTGCACTTCATACAATCACCTCCATATAGTAACAGCCATCATACATAAAAGAGGTAATGTGAATTGGTCCTCAATGCATCAAACAAGTAAAGCAGTTCAGAGTTGATAGAATAGTATGTATTGTTCCTTAATATATCACAGGTTTACTACACAGAAAGTTATGAAAACTCGGCGAGGAGCATGCAAGACTAATTTGGGAAAAGGCTATTAAAATTTAAATATAAGTAAAGCAGCTCCAGAAACAACTGGTCATGCACTGAGAACTGCACATCCAAAACAATATGTACAAGTGTCAGCTTGCAAATCTAGCCCCTCTGTAAATTTGAATGATATTTTTTTTTATAAAAAATAAAAACCTCTTAGAGTTGGTTCTTACCATGAACCTGATGGTGTGGGTAGAATTTCCCCAGGCTGAAAATTTCTGCCTTTATAGTGGCATCGGCAACTAACCCTAATAAAAGAAAGCTTATGAATTCAGTTATAATATAGTATTACAGAACAAAAGGTGATATATAATTCATACATCATATCCTAATTGTTACAATAAGAAGATGAGGAAGTCCGTCCATTTCAAGTCTACAATTTGCACAATAATGAGGAAAAATATTCTGAAAGCTAGAACTAGGATGTGTTTGCTTTTTTAAACAATACAATTAAATAAATTTAAAATGGCTTACATTGGCACACAAAAGTTGATAGATTCTTCAAAGTATTTTCCATCAGGGCAATTACATCCTTCAGCACAATCATGATCGCAGGCATCCAAAAATGAGAGGGAGGAACAGGAATGCTCACAGAAAGAGGAGCACTGGTGGTACAGCATACCACTTCTGCACATTAATGCTACAGATAAACAATGTATTGTTCAAATGTCAGAATGTCAGGCCCAGACATCAAGATGCACTGCTACACTTTAACAAAACCCACTTTCTCTTTAGCATTATTTATTAGATTTTTATCTGACCTTTACTTCCAAAAAACAGAAACGAAACAATAAAAGCAATAAAATTTAAACCTTAAACACACAAACACCAAATGAATATCCACAAAACTAATAATGTCAAAGCTGCTGATAATGTACTATATTTCTGTTCTCAAATGCCTAGGTGAACAGGACTGTTTTTTAATTCCTCTAAACATTAATATGGAGTGGCTGTCTCAGTTGGCACTGCTCTGTGGTGGTTCCAGTCCTACTTGGATGCTTGTATTCAGAAGGTGGTGTCTGGCGAGTGGAACCTTCAGTTGGGGGTTCTGCAAGGTTTGATTTTATTCCTCATATTGTTTAACATCTACACAAGGCATTGGCAAACTCAGCCCTCCAGATGTTTTGGAACTACAACTCCCATCATCCCTGACCACTGGTCCTGTTAGCTAGAGATTATGGGATTTGTGGTCCCAAAACATCTGGAGGGCCAAGTTTGCCTATGCCGGATCTACATGAAACCACTGAATGTGGTTATCCAGAATTTTGGAGTATGCTTGTCAGCAATGTGCTGATGACATACTGCTCCGATACTCCTTTAAACCTGCAGGTGTGGCAGTGGACTGATGCTAGATTGATGTATTGTCTTAGTACTGCACTGGATGAGAGCCAATAACCTGAAGCTTAATTCAGACAAGAGGTGCAATTAGTGGGTTGTTCTCTAGACTGGATGGATGGGATGTGGCCTGTTCTGGATGAGGTCACATTCCCTCTGAAGGAGCAGGTACATAGCTTGGAGTACTTCCGGGGCCATCACTGTCATTTGAGCCTCAGGAGGCCTCAGTGGTGTAGACTGCCTTCATCTGGTGGCTACACCTCTATCTGGACAGGAGTTGCCTTACATATATTGTCTATGCAATAATAATAATAATAATAATAATAATAATAATAATAATAATAATAATAATAATAATATATCCCGCCTTTCCCAGCTGAAGCCGGGCTCAGAGTGACAAACAATTTTAGTGCAGAATTTAGCAACCAGGTTGCTCACCAGAACAAGATGGTCTGAGCACACAACACCAATCCTTGCCTGTCTACCAATTAGTTTCTGGCCTCAATATGTCAAAGTGCTGGGTTTGACATATAAAGCCTTATGTGGCTCAGGACCCTAATACATCAGTGACTACCTCCCCCTACCTTAACTGGCCCAAACACTGCAGTTATCATCTGTTGCCAATGCTGTATATTTATTTCCAGCTATATATTATGGTCAGGGTTAATTGCCCAATAGTAAGATTCTAAATTTCAGGTGAAGATTGTAGAAGAGCATTTCAAACTTGCATGTAGTTTTCTTTTCCCCCTTCTAAGCATATAGATGCATCTGGCTAGTTTTGTGATGCGTTAAATCATTTGCTTCTTAGCAAACCGAGAAAGGCTGGTAAATTCTCAATGACACCCCCCCCCCCGGACCAGGCTAGTACCTGTTCCATCTTACCAGCTTAATCAAGGAGCAGAGGAATTTAGACATTAAAGAACAGGCCAGATCTGCTTAATGTTCAGTATGAGGTTACTAATCCAGGTAGATTTGGAAACAAGCAGTCTGAGGGTTTGGGGTTGCTGTTTTTTTGTTTGTTTGTTGTTGTTGTTTTTTGAAGACTGTAAGTATCCTAGTAATGCTTCAATTTTAAAAATAATAATAATTCACAGTTCAGTGACTCACCACAGTATGAGACATGAGATCTGAAGTCAACAGTAACTCCATGCTTGCTGCATAGGTAAGTATAGTGTGCAAGAGCACTGCACAAACAGCTGCTCCCACATTTGCAAGCATCAAAGCGGCACCGCTGGTAGTATAATCCTGGGCTGATGTAGACATGACATGGAGCAAAGAGTTCTTGATTGAGGAGATCACACTGGGATGCATACCCAACTAAGGGAAAGCAACATTTGGCTTATAGCAGTACTCATACTATTTAAAAGCACTCGGTGAAAAGTAAGTAGCCAAGACTGATAACACTACACCAAAACTACAGGCTAGCCAAAACATAATGCATGCAAATATACATGCACAGTCCTCATCCTACTGACCTTAATGAGCACCATCCCAGGAAGCTAGGTGTATATGCTAGCCATTGAAATCAATGGGGTTTAAAACAAACAGGAGAGAGATTTGCCTTTACCAGAAAGATTGCTCTGAATCTAAATGGCAGATTAAAGAAACAGCCCAAAATCATCTGTAGGAGACAATAAAGTTCAGACACAGGAAAAGAACTGGGATCTAAGAACGCTATTATGATAAATCTACATCAAAACCCCCAAGTAAAAGTGCACCATTTTGTTGGTTAATGTTACAAGGATCAACCACGGGGATGTTGACGGGCACATGGCATGCTGATGAAACCTTCCATGCGTTGGCATGGAGCTGCGGGGTGCCTTCAATCATTCCTGCTGGAGATCTGAGGAGGAAAATGAGAGTGATTAGACAGAAGAACCAGACAGGACAAGAGAAAATGCCTGTCACTGGAAATAAACTATTTGCCCTGACATCACCTAGGGTAGGCAAATGGACTCCCTCCAGATGTGGAACTCCAATTCCCATCAGCTCTAGCCAGCATGTCTGCAGGGCAGGAATGATGGGAGGCATGCACAAGTGGAAGACTGTGAGCATAGAAGATGCTCACATGTCTGAAAACTTAATTTGGGACTCTTTTTTCCTCACTAAAGTAACATTTGACCATTGGCTACCTGTAGTCTTCTGAGAACACTTCAAGCTGCTAGGTTTGCCTTTTAAACTACAGTGGTACCTCTGGTTACGTACTTAATTCGTTCCGGGAGTCCGTTCTTAACCTGAAACTGTTCTTAACCTGAAGCACCACTTTAGCTAACGGGGCCTCCCGCTGCCGCTGTGCCACCGCCGCGTGATTTATGTTCTCATCCTGAAGCAAAGTTCTTAACCCGAGGTACTATTTCTGGGTTAGCAGAATCTGTAACCTGAAGCGTATGTAACCTGAAGTGTATGTAACCCGAGGTACCACTGTATTTGAGAGCTACTTAAATAGGCTTATACATCTTGCCTTTTGCTCTGCTGTACTTTCAGGATCACCTGGGAGCATTTCCTTGATGCTTGCTTGTCATCACGTGGCAAGAACTTACAACAAGGGTATACAGAATCATGTTGGGTTGCTTTTATACAGTTACATAATTCAGTAGATTAGCCAAGCATAAACAATATCCAGAAAAGCTCTAGTGACTGATCATTTGGCTTGACTGAGTAGCTAAGCTTTATCTAATAAAGTGTAGTGCTACATATTCTATATGTTGGTTAATATTTTGTATATCTGGATTTAATACACATCATTACTCAGGTTTTACATATGGGTTGAGTTTTGCTTATGAGCTAGCTAACTAAATGAATAATGAAGTAACAGTAGAAATCAAACTTACAGAAAATCATCTCTCAAGTTTCCATTATATGTTCCACATAGACCCAAAGTTCTCCTTTTCCAAGCAGCACTGAGTTGAATATACACTCTCTCGCCATCTTTAGCAAACTGAATTCTTAAACCAAATTTAGTTTTCAGCTGCACAAACAATGAAGACAGATTCCGTACTTCAGCATACCCTACACGTAACAGAAGGTGGGGTAATTCCCCAAATAACATTAAATAATTGTCCAGAGGTACGAGACTGCATTCTTTTGTTAACACAAGCTAACATAGTATCAAAACAGAGAGGTGTTATTTTTAACCTATATGGAAGAAACTGTAATTCCATCTTCATAATGTCAACTCTTAAAAAATTTATTTTTTTTAAAAAAAGAGCATTTTTTAATATAGAGAACTCTGCCACTATTATTCCGTTTAACCAAAAGCAAACAAGCAAACAAAAAGAACTGAAAAGATGACGACCTTCTCCAAACCCCTTTGGAGCCTTCTCAAGGTGGGAAATTGAGAGGGATTGGGTGACAAGTTATCCAGGAGGGCTTTGTGGTTTATTCAGCCTCAAGTGACAGACACTTCAGATAGAATAGTCCCTTGCAGCTATTTTGTATATACCATATACAAGAGTGAAAGAAGTTTAAAATACTTCCAGAGAGGAGCCTCCTGACAAGGTGCCCAAAGCATGAGATATCAATTAACCGTGACAAGAGAAGCCTATAAAACGTGCTTCGTTTCGTATGTATTCTGTTTCACATACAGAACCTGAGGGATGTGGGCCAACTACCTAATTCGGTTCACATGATGAGTGAAATGTGTATGCTAATCATTCAAGGCCGAAAGCATAATATATCAATTAACTGTAACAAGATCAGGCTCAGGGCTATAAAACTTGCTTCGTTTCATGCGTTTTTGCTTTCACATATAGAATTCCAGAGATGTGGGCCAACTAGCTAATGCAAGTCACATGATGAATGAAGTTCTGTATACTAATCTATCAATGCCTTCAGTTATTTAATTTGGACGATTCCTCAGTTCCCAAACTGAAAAAGAGTTTTCTGGAGTTGGAAACCCTGATTCATATCAACTGATAACAGTTCATTTTTTTAAAAAAAAGCCGCACAATTATTTAACTCATCTTCTGTGCCAGGCATGAGAAAACACACACAGAGAGACATTAATGTAAAAAATTGTATATTTTCATTGAAACAGACTGGCTAGAAAAGGGACAATAAGAACCTTAATAGAAGGGTATTGTAATAAATGTCTTACCATTTAGGTTCAAACCCTGACTGGAAGAGCTATACTGAACTTCACCACCTCGGTTCAAAGTCACTTGCTTGTTCAAGTCATCTTCAAGAACTAGTGTTATAGACTGAATGCAGACATGATCAAGATTCTGAATGGGCCCAGGAAGGCAGGGCAACGGGGAACACAAGGAAAGGAAAAATATAGACAAGTATTTCCTAAATTGCATTCCATTCATTCCATTCCATTTTGAGCAACATTCCATTTTTATTAGGCCATCCTCCAAGGAAGAGGGCAATGTTCTTTTCCCTCCCCCTGCCCATTTAATCCTCCCAACAACCCTGAAAGTAACTTAAACTGAGAGGTAGTGACTGACCCAAGGTCACCTAGTGAGCTACATGGCTGAGCGGGAATTTGAACCCTAGTCTCCCCAATCTAACATTCTATCCACTACACCAGGCCTAGAGGAAAGAGCTGCAATATACCATTAAAAAATAACTTTAGCGATAATAAATGAATTAATTATACTCATGGAATGCAGCAGCACCCTCTAGAGTTCCGTTGTACTACAACTCCCATCACTGACCATTGGCCATTCTAGCTGGGGCTGATGGGAGTTATTAGCCTGCAACATCTGGACGATGTCATGTTGGCTAACCTTGAGCTACACATATTAAACTCAAAGAATGGTTTCATACATAAGAGGAAGAGATTGATGCTGCAGCATTCTGGATTTAACTAGCCAGCAGTTGAAATGCCCTATCGTTAATATTTTAATATTCTGTGAGCTCTCAGATTTATTGTTCCCCCCCCCCCAAAAAAACACACACACAAAAACGAGAGAGCTTATAAAATATCAAATAAATATCTCAGTCAGTTTCAAAATGCCTCTTATCTGGCTGGCAGTATATCAAACTTGTTCAGCCCTGTCACCAAGAGCATTTATCTGCCTAAGACACCTGCTCAGACTGTAACCAAATATGTAGATGCTTGTGTAATCATGCGTGAATGAAAAGCTCTGTAGACTTAATCTCAGTAAAAGGCGCAATTGGCTTTACAAAAAGGCAATACTTACGACTGAAATGGAATCCAGGTTATGATCAGGTAGACACTCAATATTAAGAAAAAAAGAATGATTTATTGTTGCTAATCCTCTTAATTAATTAATTGGCTCCAATGGTGTAGGTATTTATATATCAGCATAGAATTTTATTTTAAGCATGACCTTACCTGACCGCATGGAGTTTTCTGTACAGTAATTGTGAATTTGTCTTTCCCGGTGCCCTTCACCAGAATGTACTGACAGATCCCAAGGAAGGTATAATGGCGACCATCAAAAGTTGTGAAATGGGAATCACCAACGATTGAACATTCAGCTTAAGGCAAGAACAGTTAGATATTTAGTTGGATATTGCCCACTGAATTCAATGGAATTGAGTTCTGAGTAGATGTATAAGATTTCACTGCTAGTGGTTCAGAGGTTTACAATATCTTTTGTATTAGATTTCAACTGATGTGTCACTTTTAGTATTTTTACTTATTAACGTACCAACTTTTAAATATATTAATACAAAGTAAACAAAAAAGTATCTTACAAAAACAGAGAAAAAATAAATTACCTGGGCAATCATGCTCAGTGCAGTTCCAAATTCCACCAATACAAATACTAAAACAAAGTAGACAATGTGTTAACAGAATAGAATGCTGGGAGAAAGCATCGTAACCCTTTTGATATTTACTATATAAATGCAACTATTAAAACTCCCACAATAATAGCACAACAAGGCAAATGCTTTAAAGTAAGGTAATTAAAGGTATTCAGACACAAGACAGAGATAATAGAAGTAATGTCTACATACCAGTCACTACATTCTTGCTCAATTTTTGAGCCAACAGGAAATGCTGTCCCATGATAAACACATGGGCAATCAGAGAGGGAAATACAAGTTCCATTGTCCATTATGAGACCTAAGGTTATAAAAAAATACCATTTATGTTAGCACAATAAACACACACACACACACACACACACACACACATATATATACACACACACACACACACACACACACACACACACACACACACATATCCTGTCATTCATTATGTAGCAAAGATGTTCATCAGGTGAAGTTTAGGGAGGGATGTTGATAAGGCCTTCTCTGGACTTGACGGTTTAAAACCATGTTTTCTCAACCATGGTTAGGATGCAAGAGAGTTTGATACTAAATGAAGCATTAATACTCAACTGTGGTGAAGGATTATATCAGCACTGCCATTTAATCCCTAACCACTGTTGAGGCTGATGACAGCATGAATACTCCGAGTATGGTTTAGGGGATTTTGTTGCTGTTGTTGATATTAATTTTTTGTATCCCTATTTTTAGATTTTATGATTTATGTAGAAATAGTTCAATTTGGTTATATGCTTTTTGGTTTTATTGTTTATGACTACTTTGGTTATGCTTGTGATTATGTAACTACGGAAGGGCGGCATACAAATGAAATGATGGTGGTGATGATAAGTAGCAATGGTAGTAAATAGAGAAAGAAGTCCACAACCTGTCAGTTTATTCCCTATCAATTAACCAGGATTAAGAGACTGCCATGATACATCTGCACCAATTCACAGCGTGTATGTACATGTCTAGACTAGCCTATGGTCTAAAATTAGGAAATTCTGTACAGACAACAAAACCATCCTATTAAGAGACAACAAATACTGCTGTGACCAATACTGACAACTCTCAAATAGCATTATTTACTTGTACTGTATATCTATATCTGCCATTCACATGTTTGGTGAGCTTTCATACTGACCCAGAGTTGTAAAGAATTCAGTACCTTTTTAAAGCAATACACAAAACAGTATATAGCAAGAGTTGGGAAGAAAAAAAGATGTATAAAAATGAAATAGAAACACACATATGCTTTCCTGAGGTTCTGACTATCTTTACACAGAATCTACAGGTTCTTCTGTACATACAACCTAGAAATCAACAGGAACTTCAGAAGATGCAGGTCAAAAGGAGTGTCCCCATTAAAACACACTTCTGTTGTGAGCAGAGTGGTTCTAACATTCAAATAAGGTAATTGAAAAAGCAGCTTACTTACCATCGGGACAGTAGCATCCATCTAAGCAATGAAGATTACTGCCAAGACAATCTTTCTCAAAAGTGCAGGTTGGGGGACAACAGCTAATACAATCCCGATGGATGAAACTATCTTCACACTTATCATCTAAAATACAAGAAGTTCAAAACATTGCTATGATCCTGGACATTGCATTTAGATAAGGAGACATATTGCACAAACCCAATAAATTAATGGTCCTAAGTTAGTTGTGTTCATCAACTTCAATGGGTCTACCTTGAGACTAGCATTGAATACCACCCACAAAGTATTGTTCTACAGTGTATTAATAGTACTGTAACTAATTACTAGTATCCTAAATTTAGCATATGTTTCACGTCCAAACATCTTAAGGTAGGGCCTTCATAGGCACATTCATAGTAAGAGGAATCTGGAGTGCAGACATGTGCATTTAGGAACCAGGAGTGTGTGTGTGTGTGTGTGTGTGTGTGTGTGTGAGAGAGAGAGAGAGAGGAGAGAGAGAGAGAGAGAGAGAGAGAGAGAGAGAGAGAGAGAGAGAGAGAGAATGTAAATAATCCTGAAATCTAGTATGAAAAATGGTGGTACATAAATATTTTACATAAATATATATATGAATGTAATGTAGAATACACATCTGCTTTGACAGGATATTGAAACATCTCTATTACCCTGGCCAAGTAGTCAAAATCCTAAAATCTGAAAGCAATTACTTAGAATTGTTCTTGCTTCCACTCTGAATGGCTGCAATGTGCCAACTATACCATTGGGTTGCTGCAGTGGAAATTTCTCAGTGGTATTAGGTTGGTCCAACAAACACCTTTAACACTGATTGATACACTGAAGCTATTGTTTGGCTGACCTAATATTAAAAGTACTAGATAAATGTAAAGGGACCGCTGACCGTTAAGTCCAGTCATGGACGACTCAGGGGTTGCGGCGCTCATCTCGCTTTACTGGCCAAGGGAGCCGGCGTTTGTCTGCAGACAGCTTCCAGGTCATGTGGCCAGCATGACTAAGCCACTTCTGGTGAAACCAGAGCAGTGCAGGGAAATGCCGGAGCGGTACCTATTTATCTACTTGCACTTTGTGCTTTCGAACTACTAGGTTGGCAGGCGCAGGGACCGAGCAACGGGAGCTCACCCCGTTGCGGGCATTCGAACTGCCGACCTGATCAGCAAGCCCTAGGCTCTGTAGTTTAGACCCACCAGACTTACTACATGCTGGAAAATCATCCCTCCAGTCTCGCACTGGGTAGCCTGCATGTGAACATGATCGAGCATACTCTGTCACTGCTCGGCAGTAAGTTTCATCATCGTCCTCTCTGAAAAGACAAAAACGAACCCTTACTGATTAAATCTGTAATCTTTAAACTATATGTGTAGGATTATTGTAACTTCATAAGAAAATTGATATAATACAAGCTAGGATTCAGTTTTCAGCAATAACCCCTTTCCTGCTACAGCCCCCTTTTACCACAAAGGAGAGGGGTGTCCCTCAATCCTCAGGAGTACATTTTCAGGACACATGGGGGCGCATAGGTAGCAAAGCCCTGCTCTGTGAACACAGGTCCATTATGTTCACAAAACAGAAAACAGAAGTTGGAATCCGTGCCAAAGACACTGAAATGAAAATGAAATCTACCTTTCAGCAGATGTTCCAGCTTCTAGTAGTTTTATGTTTAATATAATGATCTATCACATGGTATGCGTGCTGGTGGTTTGAAATCCCTTATTATAAAGTCACCATGTCAAACTCCATTATGCTGTTTTCTTACCCTCACTCTCCTCACCTTACCACAGATAATCCAATTAAATGAATCTTACCAACTACATGCCTTGGCATAGATAAACTGTCATTCTACAAGCTGCTCCCTGCAGTCCGCCACAGAGCAAGAATTCACTTTCACAAATAGCCCAAGCCTAGTTAATGAAACCCCCCCCACACACACACACATACCTGCAAAAAATAATAATAATAATAATCTGAAAGTTTTCTGTACTTGTACCATCCTTAGTTTTCACAAATGTTCATTAGGAAAAATAAGTAATGATACCGGTGAAGAGATGTCAAAAAGGTTTGCTGGGCCTGGGCATAGAAACAAGCTTTATGGGCTAGATAGTGTTCGTCTCAAACAAGAGTTGAGCATTAGAAGTGCCCAAGCTAAAGTCCTTTGTCAAGCTGGGAAAATGGGGCACCACTTAAACACTGCATTGTTTTGTGTTTATGGAGCTGTTTATGGAGTTTTTTTTTAGTTTTTTTTTACAGTTTCTGCAGTCCCCTAGCAAATCAGCAGAGATGTTTCTCTGCAGCACTGCAAGAGGCTACTGTGAAGAACTGTCCCTGTGAAAATTAAGTGTATCTGGCTTGGCTTCCAATGGAGCTACAGACAGTTTCTAGGTAAGTAAGTCGGCTTATTTCCTGGCTAAACTAATGGGAGATAATGGGGCAGGAAGTTTGCCTACCTCTATTGTAGCTGACTTTGACATTTTGAACTGTTCCAGGTTCTTAAGAATAGAGAAAATAACTTACAAGGCAAAGAAACAATAATGGTGAAAACGCAACACACCACCCAATTGGGGACAATACAAAAAAGAAAAGGCGGGGGGGGGAGCTTTTTCTCTGCTTACCTACAAAGGTCATTCATACAGCTGGAAATATAGGGGTAAGGATCTATGCTTTGATGGCAGCTGAGAAAAGGGAACTGCAAGAGTATTTGGCACTTGAAGTATATGTTCTGTGCAAAAAAAGAATATAGCTGATTATTAATTCATGTATGTTTCATAAAATAAGCATGAACTACCCCCCCATCCCAAGGTCACTTTTTAACTCTCCCTGAGACCCGTACAATTTCTGCTATAACCCCTCTGTTGTCCTACATTGTGTTTCTAATGCTTCTCCCTTCCCAACTGTGTTGAATTGGCAAAATATCTCCCAGGTTCAGTGAGAACATTCCCCTGAGGAACTTTTCATTCTTTAAGTAACAATGAAAATTAAATCATCCTTTAATTTGGCAATAAAGTGAACTCTAGTCTATGCAGGAGAGCATGCCGAAAGTACAGCTCTTCTAACTTCCTCACATTTTTTTTAAAATCAAAAAAGAATTCAGGGTTGTCCCACACTGAACTGCTGATAATCAGATTAAATTTATTGACCCAACCTATTTACCAGTGTCCATGGGCTGCATCCAGTGATCTCATCCCACTAGCATAAGGACTTCCACTACGCAACTGGATTTCTCTCTTGTGACCCCCTCCACAAATCAGTATTGGAGTTTCCCCTACCCCTAAGCATACATGAAGGTACATGCTGCTAGCCTCCACATCCCACTCACACTGTCTCCTAACCCCCTGAGAAGCTTTCAAGAGGCTGCAGGAGCTTCAGAGAATCTCTTCTATGAGATTTCTGCTCTTCAGTGCTCTCACTGGCCAAAGGCCAGAAAAACAAATATTCTAGAGGCCACCCTATAAAAACAGCAATCTAGTCAGCTTACCTCATAAGATTCTGTGTCAATGTAACATGGACTAGGAAAATCAGAGGCAATAGCTACACAAGCTGCATCATCTGGAGTTTGCACAGACCAGCTGTTAGCAAATTTAGCAATATCCTCCTTATAGTCACCTATTAAACAACACAATTTCCCACAAGAGTAAATGACATATGGCTAGCATCGTGTGAATGCATATACTATAGATCAGGCTTCCTCAAACTCGGCCCTCCAGATGTTTTGAGACTATAATTCCCATCATCCCTGACCATTTGTCCTGCTTGCTAGGGATCATGGGAGTTGTAGGCCAAAAACATCTGGAAGGCCGAGTTTGAGGAAGCCTGCTGTAGATAGTATTAAAA